CTTTTCAAAGGAGATTTTCTCCAAATATGCAGTGTCTCTTCTGAACTACAAACTTTGTTATCTTCAGCAACTTGATTTTTCTATGTCTCAATTTCTGATGTGCACAAAGATATGATATTCTTTTCTGTAAGGCAGAAGTGTTGTAAGAACACTGGAGATTGCATGGCCTCAGTAGGAGTTGTGTGGGTACCTTTTATAGGTAGGAATGAAATAGGAGAGATTGCTAAGGGTGAAACGAGTGTTTCTTCTCTCTCTTAACACAATTGGAGGAGGCGGCTGCTGTTCCTGTATGAAGCGGTAATAAGTTGATGTATTCTCTCTTCACACAACTGGCACCAGCCTCACCTCCTGCTGTTGACCAAGAGAGCCACTAACAGCAAGGACAGGTCTTCCCAGGGAGAAAGGGATAGGTCTGGAGCCCCAAAATGGCAAAAATCAGTTTAACAAGATTGGTCATTTATTCACAAGGGCCATAACTTTGCCTCAAAGAAAAGGTCAGCAGGAAAATGATTCCTGCTGTGCTTTAGATCTGAAATGTTCCTTCATTTCTGAGCCCTGTGTGAGTGGATCTATTTGTGTATGCTGTCTTCTGTTTGTGAGAATTGTATTTTGAGTTCTATAACATATTTCCTGGTTTTATCCAAAACCAAGATGATAATTGAGTAGCAAAAAAATAGCCCACTCCAAATTCTACATCTTCAGAATGCCTTGGTGATGTGGTTTAGATTGTATGATGGTAATGGTGAGGTTAGATACCTAAACAACTACAGAACTGATTGCGCCATATTCAGTAAGATGATTGCTGAACTCAGAGCTGCAGGTTAAAAGATCTTTCGGTTGAAGATTCATGATTTTTTTTCTCATTGTTGTCCTGGGAACAATTCTTTCAGATATTTTTGTGTCCAAAGTAGGAGATGTTTCTTAGAGCATCTACTGTAATTCATTGGTGTCCTCTGGGAATGACAGGCATGGGATTTTGGAAAGCACTCATAACCAGCTTCAGCCAGTATTTCTGAGTTTACTATGCCATCATTTTAGGGACAAGAAAACAGAAGCACAGGCAGCAGGAATATCAAAAGCATCATAGGGAGTTCAGATTATGAACTCTTTGGACTCACTGAATTTTCTGTTTGGGAAATTGTCATTTTTCTATTTGGAAGAGTGGTTTTCCTCAAATATCATTGTGATCCCCTGGGAAAACTAGGTGTGAATGTTATTTGAAAAGTATTGATGGTGAAACATGGAGCGAGTACCACTGCTCTTGTCACCATGCAGGTATGTTTCAGGAGCTTTTCTACAAGGCCCATAGTTTTTGTCTAAGACTTCAAGTTATTATTACAAACTGCTTGTTTTCAGTTAGCAAATATAAGGTCATATTGATTTGTTGGTTTTTTTTTTTCTGTTTGAAGTAACTCAGGGTGCCTAATCACCCTCAGAATTTAAAAGAAAAAAGCTCTATGTGTATTAATGGCCACATATAAGAGTTTTCTCATATACTGGAAACATTTGCAACAAAGCCAGGGGCTTGCAAAGGGATGTCAGGATTGAAAATGAAACTGTTCTTATAACTTAATGACTTTTCGCAATTCCACAGATTCAATATACACTTCACACTTTCAGGAGCTTTTTCTACTTTGCTCCTCCTCTGTGTTCTAAAATCACTTGCACATAAGAATATTAATTACAAAATTAATTATAAACATGAATAGAAGCTTTTTTCTCCTTTTGTGGCATTTTTGTAAATCCATGGTGATAATTAAATCCTCTTTGTCTATCATTGCTCCTGTCATTCTTATGTTCACAAATAACTATTAAACACCTTATGGGGAAAATGGTACAGTCTCCTGGCATAGGATTCCTCATTCTGCAGGTTCCCAAGAGAGTTTGCATACTTGATGTATGTAAAACCCTGCTGAAATTTAGCTGTTTTAGGTTTGTAATAGAATCTTTGATTCATTTACATTGTTGCTTTGGAGAAGACCACAAAGTCCTTTCCCATCCTCAGTGAAGCTGAATTGTGACTAAGATCACAAAATGTGAAAAAAATCTCAATAGAAATTAAGAAATAAATGAAAATAAGTGCAACACAGCCAGAAAACAAGACTGGCAAAATGTTCTTGCCACACGCTAAGCTTTGTAGGAGGTATATGAGTGGATTAAGACACTTCTAATTGCTTGACACTGGAAATCTCCATCTCAGGTTTCTAAAAAAAAGAAAAGAAGATTTGGAAATTTTTATAACATTGAATTTCACCATTAATTAGGATGTGAGCCATGTTGTCCAGTAGTTAAAGCCAAGGGCTTGGCAATAAGAAGATCATGGTGTTCTAATTATGCAGTTTGGATAATTTTCCATTGTCTTTATTATTTGTTTATTTTACTCACATGTGTGCAGTAGGTGTTTTAAAATGTGAAAATCAGACTTAAAACTTTAAGCTACCTATAATTCCACGTGAAACCTCTATATGGAGAGCTTATGTATATTTTCTTTTATATTTTTATTCTTCCTTCTTTTCCTCACCTGCTCAGGTCTTTCAATAACAGTGCACTGTTCTCAGCCTCCTGGACAGAACCAATCTCCATCTATGCATAGGAAGAAATGCTTTTTGCTCTCATGGCTGAGTTTCCCAATGACCTGTTGCTGCCAGGGTTCATTTGGAGATCCCTACTTTCTTTGCACATTTTAGCCTGAGTATCCACACCAGTATTATCAGGAAGGGAAGACTTCAGCATACTGGCTTCTGTAGAGGCATAAGTTTTATGTTATCCTAGCCCGCTTAGTGGATCATGAAATATGGATTTAGGATCTCCATGTGTTGCAGCTGACCCTCCTGAATTGTACTGAATAGCTGCAGCCTCAAGAACGTTCTGCACATTCTTGTTAGGATAAAGCTCTGTCTTCCTGTTGAGAGATGAACTGATATTAGCAAGCACAGATTTACATTTATATGAACCTACTCCCTGTGGTCTGGAACCTTGGTTGCCTTTTGCAAGTATCAACTTGTCATTCTTTTCCAATATGAGGCAGGGCTGGGGAAGAGGACCTGTCTTTTTCCTGTTTTGAGAGAACATCCTGTTTGTGAAGTATCTTCTTCATGGAAATTAAAATTGATAATAATTTTTGCTCTGGTTCACAGGGGAGAACTTTGCCTGAATTCAGTGATACTTCAGTTTCCTTTTTCATGATGTGATGATGAACACAGTGGGAGTTGTGAATCAAAGGCAGTCAGAAGAGGTGGAATAGACTGAAATAATTTAAAAGTATAAGTACTATGCTTGACATCAGGAATTGTGTAAGGACATTGACTATTATTATAATCAAATAATACAGGTCAAACAATAGGTCAGAGAAGTGACATATCCACAGGTGCTCTGTACAGAGTGGCACGGTTAGCTTACTCCAAGAACACATCGTACTGTTCCAATTAATTGAGAAAATAGCTTGATACTTCACAGGTTGGAGCAGCCAGATCATTCTAAAGCAGTGATTATCTTCCCTGCTACAAAGTATGTTTAATTTCAAACTTAATTGTATCCACATTTCCGTTTCTAATTAATCTAAATATAGAAATGCTATAGTAACCGAACAGCATGTTCTTTGAGGAAATAAAACACAGCACAATCCCGTGGCACCAGAGTAATCTGATTAAAGATATGTTTATGTAACACAGGTCTTTAAAAGTTAACTAATTTCCCATATGCTTACTATTCCTGTGATGCACTTTAGTTTTAAAGGAGAGATGAAAAATCTTCATCTTGCTTGTTTTAAGCTTTGGGATTTCCACTCTCTCTGGTTTGTCACGGAATTGATGGAAGTGATTGAAAATGTAGTCACCCACTTGATAGCATATGCTTTTGAATAGGGCAAGGATCCAATTTTTATATGAAATTTCCAAAACTGGTATGTGCACAAGGGTTAACACGCACTGATCTTATAGTTAACAAGGTGTACTTCTATAGTCTTTAGCATGTCTTTCTGAGAGGGTTCCTGCAGGTGGCCAGTATTCACAAGAAGGGCAGAATGTCCTGTAAGAGGTTAGGGCCTAGTTTTCCCACCTCTGATTTTGCATGTACTGAGATAAAGGGCTGTGACTGCTCTAAGGCTGTGCATAATTTTTTGTATATCTGAAGTGCACTGAAAATCAAAGATTTATCAGTGCTGTCTGTGACTGACCTCTGCCACTGGTTTGTCAATTGTCTTGCTGCTGTGCAAATATATAACCTTATAAAATACAAAACCTGGGAGGAATGCATGGTTGAAATAGCTCTGAATATTTCTTTTTATCTAAAAGAAAACCTTTTTCTTTTTTTCTTACAAGCAAGCTGGATTGCTCTGTTTTGTTCTGGGTTGTTGGTTTTGTTTTTTTTTTTTTCCATCTGGAAATGCTGCACATGCACTGATCCTGATGGACAGTATTATAATTGATACTTTTGAGGTTGATTTGGAAGTCCTGGCCAACCAGCATTTTCCAAGAAGGAAAATGGAAAAACCGTAATGTTGACCTTTATTGTTAGCAATACCAATATGACACAAACCACATTTGGATCTTTAATACAGTTTTGGGCTTGGAGTTTAATATTTAGACATTCATTGGTGGAAATTGAGTGCACTGAGGAAATCTTGTTCATAAACTCTCTCTGAGGAATCCTGTTTCCACTTGATACAAAGCTAAGATATAGATTTATTTGTTTTACTTAGCAGTTTTACTTGTTTTACAGATTTATTTGTTTTACTTAGCAGAGAAAAGAGCTTGTGTATCTTCTTTCCAGCTGAAATTAGTCCTGATGACATTCAGCTGGTGGGCTGGATGAGCGATATCAGCTAGAGAGAGATCAGCTAGAGAGAGGCTGGATGATGGAATGGAGGCTCCAGAGGTGGAGCTGCAACAGGAGAGTTGATAAATGAAGGGGTTCATTTCATTCAGAGCTTCAGGAAAAATACCCTGCTTTAAAATTCTGACATAAAAATTCTGGTTCTTCTAGAAAAAAAAATAAAAATCACTTCTGAAAACTGATGTGAGTTCTTGAAAACACGCACCTTTTCCTTTCAACACTTAAACCAGACTTAAAGCTGTTTACTGAGAAGAGAGCACCACCTTGTGTTAGTAAATCACTACATCTTGTAAAACGGGATGTGAACGTTTTCTTGCACAACTGAACTGAACTCGAAGAATAAAGATGTACTTTTTTTTTTTTTTTAAATCACGTAGTGGTCTTGCACTTGTGCTGTAGAACGCAGGTGACTTTTTCTTTTTTTCACATTATTTAAGCTTTATTTCTCTTATACTGTATATAGTCTTGTTGTGAAGGAGACAAGGAGGAGTTTGAGATCTCATCTATTTTCTCTTATACAAAGCTAAATTGATCATGTTTCATTTTTTGTGAAGCAGAATATTCTCACAAACAAATTATCCAGGCCAGTTTACTTTGTTTGTTTGTTTGTTCTGTGTGTATGATGATGAACATTTCATTAACTTAATTCGCAATGTACTACAGGACCTTAATCCATAATATTCTCATATTATACAAATAATCTTTGCTTTTTTTTTTTACAGAGGGACATGTGTTGTGATTAGGAGCTCTTTTTTAAAAGGAATTTAGCTCTTCCACAATGGAAATGAGCCTGGAGAAAAGTATCACCATATGACGGAGCCTGTGGAAATTGAAGAATAGATTTCTGCATGTCTAAGTTTGAATACGAATGTCTGACTCTAAACTAAAATGGGATTGTAAGTAAGGGAGGAAATAAAAAAAGAAGGAAAAATATGCCTCTGAAGAAAAAAGAACTTAAAGCTGAACTCTGAAGAGTTTAATGTATTTGCATTAAACCTATTCCCCTATGAATGAAACAAATATATGTGGTGTGAATGAAAAGCAGACAAATCTTCTGCTTCCAGGAAGTATGCTAGAGATGTAGACTGAAGCTCTAACATACTTTTCAGATTCTTTAAAAGGGTAGCTAAGCTTCAGAACTAATTATTTGATCTCAGAGATGGAGACATGATATATAACATGGTGCCCAGCAGTGAATACTGCATGCCGATAGAGTCTGGATCTGTATATAGTTATGCAGCTCTTGCTTTGAGTATTTGCCCTGAACCATATAAACTAACCACAGTGGTTGTCAGTCTACATATGTGTTCCCTGCTGTTCCCAGAACCCCAGCATGTGTTCCCAACATGGGTTCCCAGGATATTCCAGCTGTATACTATCAGTTCTGCTCTGAATCCTGTGTAATACATAAGGTGAAGCCTGTTTTCCCACCATGGAGGCATGGTAGATTGATGCTTTTGGCGAAAGGAGACAGAGATGCTGCAGATTTGGCGAGAATTCATAGTTAGTTCTGGTGCCTGACTTAAAGTTATCACAGCTGCATCTTTAAACGTGCAGGAAATTCAAGTGTCTTGTACAAAACATCATCTCCAACAGTGCATTTGAATTTCCTGTGCAAATGTGTCATAGATGCCCATTTTCAGAGAATACATTGAATCAGGAAGACATTGACTTAGTAAGACTGGTTTAGGTCAAAAACTTGTGAAGAACCAAGGTGTAAGAAAACATTTCCAATCCAGCTTTTTAGAATAATTTCAGATCAAAATCAATTGATTTCCAAAAAACCCCCTCATTCCACTTCTTTGCTTTAGTACTAGAGTACCTCTAGTGCTCTAGAGTTTGCTATTGTTGATAATCTTAATATAAAGGGGATCTTTTTTTATTTGGTTGTTTTTGGTTTTTTTTTGTTTAGTTGGTTTTGGTGTTTTTTTTTCCCAAAAAACTGGTTACAGCTATACTCTGTAAGGGTTCGAAGAAGAGGAGCATAAAGACACTACATGTTTGTTAGGACACTGAGACAGTATCTATGGGGAGTGAAGGTTAGTAGAGAAATTAGAAGACATTGATATAAAATCAGATTAGCTTTGAGTACTGTGAGAGGCCATGGTATGAATGTGTATAGTAAAAAAGGCTAAGCAAAGCTCTATTGCCTTGGACTTAAAAGAAAATTCAAATCAGAAAACCCTATACGTTTTTTTTATATGTATATATGCATTGAAATCAAGATACTTTTTCTCTCAAGAAGCAAAAGAATTTATAATGCTGTCCTAGTTGTCCTGAACTTTGTAACTTTGTAATCAGCAGTTCTTTCCAATATGAGAAATGTGAGTAGTGCATATGGAAGGTAAACTCCTCAAATTAGAACCGTTTTGATATTTATGGGGGGGGGGAAGGAGGGAATCTTTCCATTAACTAAACCTGTCTCAAGTTTCCTTTGTAAAAGGTTTCTCAGGTCTAGGACGGTCAGAGTCTGAATGACAGTGTAGCAAGGTGGCTATGGTATTTCCATGGCATGTAAGAGACAGGGATTCATTTTCTGCTCACAGCAGGAGAGGTGAGTGAGTGTGCTGACCTCCACCATCCCCAGGGAAATGTCTCCTTTTTATCCTTTTTATTTCTTCTTGTCTCCGCCCTGCTTTGCTCTGGTGGTACATCTGTTTCTCCAGGTAAAAGTACTATGAACACCCAGTATGGAGAAAGAAAACATTTCAAGAAAATGAAGGGGAGAAAAATCCTCTTCTCAGGTAACTCTAGGTAGGATGACTCCCACTACTCAGTTTTACAGCACAAGTAAACCAGTAATGTAAGCAATGGGTAATGCCTTCCTCGTGTGGAACTCTGTATCTCCTGTTCCTTGCAGAGATGTGCAAAACAGCACAGGACACAGGGAGCTTCTACAGTGGTAACTGTCATCTTTTTACAGTTGTCCCAGCATGTGTTCATGATATAGCACAGATAGGGATGTATCTGGAATTTCTGGGATTTATTCCTGATCAAAGCTGTGTGCACAGCTTACTGAGCAAAGATGAGAAAAAATATGTTGTCTGGTGAAGAGTATGCCCCAGGAAAGCGTGTGCAGGTGGAGCATGTCGTCTGGGCTGCTCCCCCAGCTTGGCATATTCACCATGTGGAGCTGTGAGGCTGCATCCCCCTGCTACACTGTCCCATGGAGGGAAGAGCTGTTTATGGTGTTCCCAGGCTGCATTTACCCTGTGGAGCAAAGGAGAACTCAGCCACGTGCTCCTCAGGTCTCTTTGTCCACATGCCTCAGCATTAAGGAAGCTATTGTGCAGCAGGCTGGGGCTGGTCAGGTTGGCTATGGCTGCATCATGTTTGTTCTTCCCTTTCTCTTTCCTCTGCCTATTCTTACTTTTCTGGGACAGGAAAGCAGTTTTCTACCCTCCACTGCAGTTCTGGCACGCATCTCACCTCTCATGACTCTCAAAGTTTACATTAAGGATGACATTTTTTGGCTGGCATTTGGTCCCAAAGGTCATCCTTAATTCCAGTGGTTTTATCCAACTAGCTCTTTCCCGGAAAGGTAACCTTTCCTGTTTTAGCAATATGTGGTTTCTTACCTGTTGTTCCTTGCAATGCTAATGCTTCATTGTAACTGCAGTTGGTATACCAAGGCTCACAGTGATGGGATACTGTAAGGGAAGAGGACAATTCTGAGGTTATGTTACACTGTGTGTAGATATCCTAGTGTTACCTGGTTTAGTTTGTCCTGCTGTTGTGGTTTAAGCCCAGTTGGCAACTCAGCCACGCAGCCCACTCTCTCACTCCCCACCCCTTTCCTCCCCCTGCTCCCAGAGGGATGGGAAGGAGAATCAAAAGAATGTAACTCCCACGGGTTGAGATAAGAACAGTCCAGTAACTAAGGTATAACACAAATCACTACTGCTGCCACCAATAATAATAATGATAAGGGAAATAACAAGGGAAGAGAATACAACCTCTCACCACCCACCGACCAATACCCCGCCCAACCCAAGCAGCGATCTAGCCCTTAGGGGTAACTGCCCCCTGTTTATATACTGGGCATGACGTGCTGTGGTATGGAACACCTCTTTGGTCAGTTTGGGTCAGGTGTCCTGTCTCTGCTTCCTCCCAGCTTCCCCTCCTCCCTGGCAGAGCATGAGACTCAGAAAGTCCTTGGTCGGAGTAAACATTACTTAGCAACAACTAAAAACACCAGTGTTATAAGCGCTGTTCCCAGGCTGAAAGTCAAAAACACAGCACTGCATCAGCTACTAAGGAGAAAAAATGACTGCTACTGCTGAATCCAGGACATCTGCTAAACAAGGATCTCTTTTGACTCTCCCAAACTACAAAGCCAGTTTAGATGTGGAAAAAGTGGGTGTTACTCTGCACTACACTATCTCAACACACAAGCAGTTTATTAATGCTATCTGCAGTATTCACAATCCTCCCTGCATTTTAGGTTCTTGTCCTGCTGTGCCCAAGATTGTCAACAGTTGAACAACTCGGTGACCACCGTTTTCCTTACCTTTATAAATATTTAAGTGTTTCCCTTTAAAAGTGCATCTGTATTTAACTATTTACATACCTGAAAATTGTAGACTAATCCTTAAACATTTCCTATTGTTCATGTTCAAAATTTTGTGATAAATATGCTTTCAGTCACTGCCTGCCTTCATGGGTTACACCCTTTTTTGTATGATTTCAAGAGACATTCGAGAAACAATAATTTGGAAATTCATTACAATGCCAGGGTTTATATGCTCTCATTAAGCATTAATTGGTAGTTGATGGCTATTGCTATTTTTAACACCATTAGTTCATAGCAATGTAATTAGTGATGCTAAGTACAGGATCCACATTAATAGCATTACTAATTGTAAATCTGGAGATAGAAACACAAGATGACTGGTTAATTTCTAGGCAATATCTCATGATAATTGGCTATAGGACATTTTTGCTGAAGTAGAAAGGTAAATAATTTAAAATCTTTTCTTGTAGTTTGCACTTTACTTTGCCATACTAATACAGTCTGTTGCACATATTTTAGTCTTGTGAAATGCAATACCATTAGTATCTCACAGCCTTCGCAGTTATTAATTTTCACGCTTCTCAACTATTTTATATATACTAGCAACTATGAATTAAGAAAGAAGCAGAAGCAATAAACCAACAACTTTAAGGACACCTGACTGAGAAGCTTAGTTTTTGCAAAGCAGTGTCATATAAGCAGAAAACAGGAAATTTGAAATAGATTTGTAAGATTTTAATTATATAATGCATAGACAGCAGATGCTTACCAATGCTGCTTGCTTTATTTTATGTTTTTTTAAAATTAGTTTTATATTAGCCAGAAAAAAAAATTTGGTCTCATTCTTGGTATTAATAATACAGTGATTGCAATATTTAAATTCTATTGAGCTAGATTTTAAGCAATTTTTGCTTCAGCAACTATGTGATAGGCCTTTAGATGTAAAAGTTCCTATGTACAGATGTCCAAAGTGCTTTTCCACATCACTGTACAGGCTAGCATAGAGCCTTTCCCCAGTTTAACTGAGCACCTCCTAAATATTGAAAGAAAAGTAACAAATTGACATTATCTTTTCAGCTGCCAGCAAGTAGGAGAACATGTCTTGATTAGATCCTGAGTTATATAAATAGTATAAGAATTGATATTAGAGAGGGAATGGATGTATGTGAAAGTGAGGCTGAAAAAATTAATGATGCATCTTTACAGCCTTACTGAGACCTCATTGATTTCCATGGAAACCTTCTCATTGACTTCAGTGGGTCTCTTTAGTCTGATGCTAGAAAGGGTGGTTGACAGTTAGTGAGGTGCGTGCTCTGGTCTCCGTTCCATTGTGCTCAACAGCATTGCCTG